ACTTCTCAAACAGCAGCGAAACAGCCCCAGCCGAGGTCTGCTGGGTGATGACGTTTCCTCAGATGTCATTTGTCAGAACACACTCATGTAATGTTAATGAACAATGTGCAAAGCCATTAAAAACTCAATTACAGCTTTCTTTTTACTGCAGACGTGAGGGAACGCAATCATAAAGTGCTGATGTGTAAACACAATGGCCACCATCTGCTACAGAGCAGCGCTTCAGCTCCAGAAAGACGGGCTATGCTGCAGATGCATCAATAATAGGACGCTTATCAAGGCATCATTATGCTCCAAGCAGGGAAAAAATTGAAATTTATGGCCAGCTAGAGAGCACTTCGTGGTTTAATCCCCCAATTTTCGGTGGTATGTTTAATAACTAGGAGAGAGTGGCGTTTTATGTTGCTGCCGCTGGAGCGGGTTTTTGAAAAGGAATTTATTTACCGTCTTCCCATCCTCCGTCCTTCTGACTCATCTGAGCATAACACGTTCATTTTTAGTTATTCAGGGTAAAACCAGCAAGATATTAATTAATCTAACTTGTTGGTCCGAGAGCACCAAGTTTAATTGACCTGATATTCAATTTGTTTTAATGAGCTTATGCTTCTGTATCCAATAAACATAGAGAATAACTTTTACACAGCATGGATAAACTTTCCCCCACACTAAACTAATTTTTCAGTTCAGTTTTGACTTTGACATTTGAACATTTCTGGATGGAAGTAAACAAAACTGCGAGGCTAAATGATATTTTTGTTTCTTCTGGTACTGGTTTTTCCCAACTGGACATGCAAAGCTCTAAATAAGAGTTTCCCCAAGATATCTTTTGTTTCATTCAGATTCTTGCCTGGAGACATTTAGGAGGCTTTCAGTCATCTATTGATCAATAATTTCCCTTTGCGACATGTTAATTCATTCCCCAGTTCTTTGTATAAGTGGAGAATGTGAAAAGTGATTTGTTGGTGCCAGGCCAGATTGTATCTCTTTTATTTGCACATACAGGCCTATAAATTGGGAATAAGTCCCATCAGCTTCAATTCTGTGCTCAGCCTAAAGAAGGCTGTCAGAGTCTGAATCACAATATGTCAGTTTTTATTAAGGATAATAAGGAAAACCACATTTGTCTTTAAAAGGCAAGTTTAGTTTGGTTTGGTTTTATTTTTTTCCTATTGGGAGCTATTATTGTGATCTCTCATCTGCTCCTAAGTGGTGGATCCTGCCCAGACAAGCTCCACTGGACATGGATATTTTTAATAGGATAGTGGATCTTGGAGCCTTCAGAGCAACTTTGTGAAGGTCCCAGAGGACAGGATTCCTGCTCAAGTTCACTCTGTGAAAAGAAAAGTGAAATTGTGTATATTTGGAGACCAATTTACAGGGTGTAATTTATTCACAGCTGAATTTTCTAGGTCAGCATATCCTTGCACCCAGCATCAGTGATTGTCCTGATGGAACTCCCAGGTTTTCCTCCCCAGCATGGCCAGGCTGGAGGTGGTTCTGTGTGGTCCTCTGGTGTGGGCCATGCCTGGACTAACCATGGGAAGGGTTTGTGGTGGCAGCTACCACACCAGGTCTCTGCAGAAACCAGGCCTGTGGTACAGTCAGTAGGTGACAAACCCATTTAAACCCAGAGTGAGTACTTTTCTGTGACAGACGTGGAACTGTAAGTGGAAATTTTTCGTCTTTTCCACTGTTGTATAAAATCATGCCTCTTATCAGGACTTTTCTTGAGATAGTCACAGTTCTTATACCGTTTCCTCCTGTGTCTCTAGAAGTGTTGCATTAAAAAAAAAAATCATATGCTATAAATAGGAAGCTGTGAATAATTTACCCGTGACAACTGTTTGTAAGGCTATTTTTTAGCAACTAATTATTTTACTAAGTGCTTTTTGGTGGATGGGTACTTTACTTGCTGGTGTTGTCAGTGCTGGATTCAGGCTCCACACTCTCCCCAGAATTGTCAGCAGTTGCACAAAAGGCTGTTGTCACTGCTAAGAGATTGTGATTCATTTTTTGTGGGTGGCAAAAAATAAAATCGTAATTATTGCTTGGAACTTTTTATAAAAGCTGATGTTTTTTCTCCCAGAGGAAAGCTCGTTATTTTTATATATGAGCCTGTAAAAGTGAAACACTCCCTAACTTTTTCTGTCACTGAAACACTTGCCTCCCCCAGTGCAGCTCAGGACTATATTGTGTTAGACACAGTACAGGCTCTGAGTAGCTCTTTAGGGTAGGATAATCTACATATTATCCAAATTAGAAAGAGAAGAGTTGAGAAAGATGCCCAGAAGTGGAATGCTGTGCCACATGATCCAGTCAATTATGGTGTAAAACCCCATTTTTCTGGGTTCCTGTGCACTTGTAGGAGGCACTTGGTCAAAAACCTTGTGGGTGCTGTGCCCCTCTAGGCCATGCTACCCTTACTCAGCAGTTTTTACAGTCTTTCCTCCCAAATTCTCTGGAGAAAAGTGGTTCTTGCGACTAGTCCTGCTTTATTTTTACAGGAAGATGAGACAGGCCGTGTATTGACAGAGATGACAGAATCTCAGACTGGTTTGGGTTGGAAAGGACCTTAAAGCTCATCCAGTCCCACCTGCTGCCATGGGCAGGGACACCTTCCACTAGCCCAGGTTGCTCCAAGCCCTGTCCAACCTGGCCTTGGACACTTCCAGGGATCCAGGGGCAGCCACAGCTTCTCTGGGCAACCTGTGCCAGGGCCTGCCCACCCTCCCAGGGAAGAATTTCTGCCCAATATCCCATCTGAACCAACCATCCTTCAGTTTAAAGCCATTCCCCTTGTCCTGTCCCTCCATCCCCTGTCCCAAGTCCCTCTCCAGCTCTCCTGGAGCCCCTTTAGGCCCTGGAAGGAGCTCTCACATCTCCCTGGAGTCTTTTCTTCTCTGGGTGAACACCCCCAGCTCTCCCAGCCTGGCTCCAGCGCTCGTGGAAGTGTCACAATCAGCCTTTTACCAAACCTGGCTGTGTCAGGTTTCCAAGCTGTTGCCTCTCCAAGCCTGCTGGCAGTTGTGCTTTCTGATATCTTGTTGTCTCAGATCATACAAACAGAACTCAAATTTCAGTTTCTCAAAAGTTTAGTTTAGATGGGTAGAATTTTAAGAATAGTCTGTATATGGTAGGTGCTGGAGAAGAGGATTTTGTGGTTAACTGGGAGCAGAATTACACCAGCATTGGACATTTGTCAGGATCCTGATTATTAGAGGGAAACTGAAAAGTTTGGATTCAGCTCTTACATTCCTCAGAAAATATGAACCTGGAATTTGGGCCATTTTGGTTTTCAGCATATCAACATGAAGGACAGAATTGCCAGAGACCATCTTGCCTGTAAATTTTCCTGTTTCTTGTAGAACCTCTTTCCCAGCTGTGCTTATTGTACTTGAATTTTCTTTAGGGTGTATGATTTTTTTTCCTTTTTCTTTTTTTCTTTTAAAAGATTGACTTCCTTCTGCATCTGTGCTTGTCAGTCCTTTACAAAATGCATATATATAATATAAACAGTGGAGGAAAAAAAACCCTTTTTCATGAGAGAAAGTTGCTCATACCTGTTATAAATTTAAAATATGTGACTGTTCACTGCACAGAATTGATCCAAATGTTTGTGTGGTCACCCTGCTATGATGGGGAATAGGAAAAGTCAATGGGTCAGAAGTGAGACAGGACTTTTCAAGTCTTCTGTGAACTGCAAGATGCCAGCAGAGAAATACATTTGTAGCATTACCTTGGCAGCAGCATCAGAACTGAGAGTGTCGAGAGGGCTGTGCTTGATTAAAAATTCTCATTCCTGGCTGCTGACACGCAGATTTCCCCCCAGCCCCGGTGCCTCGGTGTTTTCTCCATCTTTTTCTGAGTGTGAGTGTCTGTGCCCACGTAAAGGAGATCCTTTAAACAGAACTGAATCAAATAATGTTCTCCCTTATTGCCAACATTTGTCACCTTGATGCATCTGCGAGGAGATGAGTCGAGGCACGATGTGCCATAAAATAACTGCCTGATGAATCAGAATGTGAGTTCAACATCAAGTGCCGTGGTTAATATGATGCAAGATTCCAGGTGAACAAACTCATAAATTGCCTTACTATATATTCCCCTCCCTAAATTCAGCCTGCCTTCCCTCCTACAAGGATAATTGGCCTGTTGCATTATGACAAGTCGAGATTTTGCTGTTCTACCTACAAGCCTCGTTCGTCTGGGTTCTGAAAATTGGGGTTTTCTCAACACAGCCTTCAGAAGTTTCAAGTGCCAGGGTTCACAGGTGTAGATTGGCATGAAGTGGGCAGGGGCTTGTGGGCAAATGTCAGCTGAGAATTTTGCCTGTTGTAGTTTTCATATTAAATCACAGAATTGTTAAGTCTGGAAAAGACTTTTAAAGATCATCAAGTCCCAGTAACACCATGTTCACCACTAAACCATACCCTCCAGTGGCATGTCAACACAATTTTTGAACAGTTCTAAAGGTGGGATTCCACCATATCCTTGGACAGTCCATTCCAGTGCTTTACAACCCTTTCCGTGAAGAAATTTTTCCTAATATCCCATCTAAACCTCCTCTGGTGCAACTTGAGGCCATTTCCTCTCATCCTGTCACTTGTTACCTTGTATTAAATGTGCCTTTCAGGGGCTGTATACTGTAGGAGAACCTTGTTGCTGCTTGAAGTGGGAATGGGCTTCTGTTTGGAGTGGCTGTTTTATCACAAGGTGCTAAAATAATACAAGCTAAACAGTACTTTGATTTTGATTTTTAAGGTAACCCAGTTAAAGTGGTTCCAGCTGGCCCTGAGCCCACTGGTGTATATACCCTGCAATTTTAATATCCTTTCATTCTGTTACCTAACAACGTGCATCAAACAGCTGGTTTGAGTTCTTCAGATGAACGTTGTGTTTTGTGGCTTCTGAGGGAATCGCGGAGTTTAAAAATGGAGCTGTTTAGAGTCGAAAAAGCCAAGCAAACCCACTTTTTCTTCTCCTTTCGCTCTCCCCCGCAGGCTCCTTCATGATGGTGAACAGCTCTGGGCGAGCATCAGGGCAGAAAGCCCACCTGCTGCTGCCCACACTGAAGGAAAACGACACCCACTGCATCGACTTCCACTATTATTTGTCCAGCAGAGACCGTTCCAGCCCCGGCTCCCTCAACGTCTACGTGAAGGTGAACGGGGGCCCCCAGGGCAATCCCATATGGAATGTCTCAGGAGTCGTGACGGAGGGATGGGTGAAGGCAGAGCTGGCCATCAGTACCTTCTGGCCACATTTTTATCAGGTATGTGTTTGTAATGTTTTTCTCTCCCTTGCCTTTGAACATCTGTTGTTAGCCAGAGGGATTTTGGAAATCCGCTCTCGCCTCCCTGACTTTTTCCCATCCAAGTAAATTCATTTGTAGTGGTTATATCTTGACATACTTCTTCCCACTTCACCCTTTCTCTTTAGTTGTTGTCAGGTCACAGAGTGATGGATGAGAGTCAAGTTATTAACAAGTCAAACCCCCCTTGTTCACGATAGAATGGGCACGTAAACCAGTTTTTTATTGGCACTTTCCATGGCCCTCTGTAACTGTAAATACAGCTGAGTTTCTAGATGTGTAGCTGTACTTTGCATAAGTCCATGAGAGGAAAGGATGAAGAGATGCAAATGTGTGCAGAGTGGTGTTCTAAGGGCAGTGCACAACTTGTCCCCGTTCTGAAGGCACACACTGAAGAGCTTCTGCTCCATCTGAATTAACAGGAACCTGGTCATGCACCAGAATTTGCTTCCTCGGAGCTGCTCCGCAGAGGTGACACAAATGATCTTTCACCCACGTAATCAGTGCTTGAAAAACCTGGAAAAGCCAGTCTGATCTCACACTAAGAGGGATCCTGCTCTCAGATATATCATTAGTGAGGCTTCTTGAGCCTCACTTAGGTCTTTTACAAGTCCTTTTGCAGGTCAAGTTTGCTTTCCCTGGGTAAAAAAAAAAAATCCTTTAAATCAAACAAGAATTTTCCACTGCAGCACAAAAATGAGCGGTTTGGAAGGCAGCAGTAACTGCCCAGGAGTAGCTCCTTCCTGGAAAATGCAAGGGGCTTCCTTTCTGACTTTTTGGTGAGTCAGAGTGATGTTTCCTTCTGTTTGTACTTGTATTATCATTCCTTAAGTGTGGCTTTTACAATGTGAGATCTGTCCCACTGTTCTGGGGGTCTAGGAGAGTGATCTGTCTTCTTCAGTCCCTGATTTTATAAACCATCTTGTTGATGGTCTGCAGTCCTGTGAGCTTCTACATTTAATCAAGGTTTTAAAGAAAAATAAAAATAAAGAGAAAAGAGAACTTTAGGCTTGCAAAAATGAAGAGGAAAAATGATCAGTATTTGGCAGCCTGAAGTAACACTTCTTGCTAAAGGAGTCCAGAGGTGGCAGGACAGCAAAAGCTTGGGTGTGTTGCTGCCTGAGGAGAGTCTCATTTCACTTTCAGGATCTGGGGTGTGCCAGTAGAGTGTTATTTAATAAAATCTCAGGGTGGTTTGGGTTGGAAGGGACCTCAAAGGTCATCTCATTCCACCCCCTGCCACAGGCAGGGACACCTTCTACTAGCCCAGGTTGCTCCAAGCCCCGTCCAACCTGGCCTTGGACATTTGCAGGGATGGGGCAGCCACAGCTTCTCTGGGTAATCTGTGCCAGGGCCTCCCCACCCTCACATTTACCATTTATCTGTCAGCTTTGAATGAAAATTGCAGTCCTGGAGAACTTTGTCTGCAAGAGGCCTGAAGGCATGTTCTGTGTTTTGAAAGCACTGGGTAACATGGGAAAAAACCAGCATTTTTCCTAAATATTGAAGTCTGCATCAGGCAAAATGTGGATTATACTCTTAGTGCACAGAAACCTCACCATCCTGAATTGTGATGTGCATCAAAAATTCTGACAGGAAAAAAAAAAAAATCTGGAGCTCTCTATCCTGGCTCTGGGGCTTCAGCGACTGCTTGGAGCTTTGGAGATGTGACTGGTGGAAAACTTATCCAAACCACTTGCCAGGGGTCATGTTTTAGGTCTGGCAGTTCTTTGGAAGGGGTCATAGGAGTCATCTGACTGCAAAAACACTGCTGAGATAGAACTGTGTGGGGAGGGGGTGGTGGAGATTTATCGTGCCTGCCCTGGAGTTACTCGCACTTGGATTCCCAGCCTGCAAATGTTTTTAGTGGAGCGAGAAAAAGCTGTTAATAGTTCTTGGAGAAAGGTAATACTTGTAATCTTGAATTACTGCTCGCCACGAGGATGAACTTAGTCCCAGAATGCACCAAGGGCAGCACTAGAGCCTGCCAGGAAGTGTTTTTTTTTGATGTATAACAAGGAATGTTATTGATCCAGGCCTGGAGAAAACTGTTGTACCACACCAGATGAGCTGCTAACACAGACATTGTGGGTAAATCACAGCGCTGAAATGTGGGGCTGTTTATTGGGAAGGAAACAGGAAATGGCTTTGTATTTGCAGTTCTCAGGAGCATTTAAAGATGTTTTCTTTAATAGTAAAGCTTGGTATTTTTTCATCTTTATTAATATCTGAGAAGTTCCTTAAATGCAAGGCATCGTTAAATGTTTGTCTCAACCATTCTGCTGCATTTCCAGCTGAATTTAAAAGGTCTTGAGCGATACTCAGTGTGAAATTTGCAGAAACAGGTCCCATAAGCATTTATTCCTACCTTTTCCTCATGTTGGGTCTCAGTTCCCTGTTTTTAGAAATGCCTGCATGCTTCCATGCTTCTCACTTTGATAGAGATGCTGCAAAACATAGGAAAAACCAACAGTGTGGAAGTTTGAACTGGGAAATAACAAGAATACCTGAGTGTAACAGAGAATAAAATAGTCAAACAATATAGCCTGAATTCTCAGCAACAGTCTCCTCAGTGGATTTTGCACCAGCATACATGGATTTTTTAGAGGCTGACTGTTGTTACTGGATTAAATTACATTGTGCTGTATTAAAGATCCTGTACATATTGGGAATTAACCAAACACAATTCTCTGTATATCAGTGCCTGCTCTTGCCACACACTAATAGCTGATGCCAATGCCTTGGAGTAGTTTTCATCCCAAGTTTTTGGCTTGCAGGAAATTGAAAATCAGTTTATCATGGCTTTTGGCTTCTCACAAATGCAAAACTAAAATAAGATTTTTGTAGCTCTAATGTTGCCCTTTAATTCAAGCCTGAAGGGAGTTGCAGTAGTGCCTTGTGTGACCTTCCCTGTGAGTGTAATTTTTATCAGGAATGACATTTAATTTCTAAAGTGATTATTATTTCCATACCAAGGGCTCCTGTTTTACACTGTTATTTTATATGGTCCCTAAAAAGCCTATCAAGGACCTTGATAACACAAAACACTTGTTGATAGATGATATCTTCCAGAGACTTGCTGCTTCCTAGTGCTCCTTGGACAACCAGTCTCCTTGTTGTCCAGTCTCTCCTGGAGTAGAACTTTGTTTCTACAGTTCATTAACATTTGAACTTTTCTTGCTTTGTATTTTTGCCTGTTCATTTTTGTGTTCTACCTGTTTTTATAGTGTCTGTTTGTTTGTTTTGTTTTTAATCATGAATGTATTTCAGGAGATCTCACATCTGGCTGTGTTTTGCATCAGGGGAACAGATCTTAGTTATGGAATCATGAGTAGGAATTATGTTCTGGAAATTATTAACAGTAATTCTGCACTTAGGAAGGACATACTGGTCTATATTCAGAGCCAGGGCTTGCAGTGAGCAGCATTTCAGCAGCTGAACCTCGTACTTTTTTAAACCTTCTGATTAAGGAGATGAAGAAGCAGCTGAACAGTGACAGACTGGAAATGCCAGCTTTTATTTAAAATGAAAATAAGTGTTGAAAGCTGGTTTTAAATAGTTAACTTTGTGTTCTAGTAGTGAATTTTGGAAGTCACAAATTACTGAAATCCTTTCTCCTCTGGAATGAGGAGCTGCATTAGAACACTTCTCTAATGGCAGTAGCTGTGCCAGCTGTGTGTGTTAATTAACTCTGCCCTTGAAAACCTTATACTGGTGCAAAAATGAGCACTTCAGTACAGTGTGAACATTGCTTCAGTAAGATGGAATTAAACTGGGAATATCCCTTTCAAAAGCAAGGACAGGATCCATTACATCTTCCTCCACTCATTCAGGTTTTTAACGTATTAAAGGACAGCACTTCATTCCTTGGGGAAGAGAATCACTGATTTGAGAGGCAGAATCAACAAGATGCTAAATAATAAACCTGCAATTTTCTTTTTTCTGTTGCAGTTTAACATTTCTAAGCTTCCCCTTCCTTGCAGAGTCATAGCATGGTTCAGATTGGAAGGGATCCATAAGGATCACTGAGTCCAACTCTCTGCTCCTCACAGGTCTACCAAAAACCCAACCATGTGGTTGAGAGTGTCCTTCAGATGCTCCATGAGCTCTGACAGGTGCTGTGACCTCTTCCCTGGGGACCCTGTTCCAGGGACAGACCTCCCTCCCAGGGAAGGACCTTTCCCTGATGTCCAGCCTGAACTGACTCAGCTTTGTTCCATTTCCCTGTGTCCTGTCACTGGACACCAGAGTGAGATCAGCACCTTCCCCTCCACTGCCTCCCTCGAGGAGGTCAGCAGTTAAATTACTTTTAATGATCTCTTCATCAGTTTTTTAGGTTGGTTGTTTTGTTTGTTTTTCCCTGCACTCCTGTATATACAGGATACTTCAGGGCAACTTTCCAGGTAAAAATCACAAAGCCACAGGGTGGAACGATATTTTTGTTCATCTGTGATTGAACATCTGTCTTTTCAGGCCCAAATTAGTGGAATGCCTTAATTATCCAGATGTATAAATAGTGAAAAAAATGCTAGTTAGTGTACCATTAATGTAATGAAATGCTACATGTGGTTTTTAAGAATATTCCTTCTCAGACCATGATACTCAACCCAGGGAAAGGCAGAAACAACTTATTATATCAGGGAGAATCTTATTTCAGTCCAGTAACTGGAATCAGTGTCGTCCTTTGCTCATAATTTGCTTTCTAATCCTGCAAGGGCCTGCATGTCCAAGCAAGATTTTCTCAAGCAGAATCCAGGCACAGTTACTGATTCAGTAAGAGAATTCTATCCATGTACAGCTTTCTCCCATTTTCCATGAACAAGATGTCAAGTGATTATCCACTGAGTGTTCTTAGACTGGTGTTTAAAGTGGATATAGGTGTGTGTATATACACAGGGTACCTTTTGCTTTTCCAAATCAGAGACACACTCAGTTATCTCTAATCTTAGTGAGTGTTGCTCTGAATTTTTGTTTTCCACCCCAAACAGAGTTGCATTGTATGTATAGACTGAATTGCCCTGGCATCCCTTTGTTATTAGTGATTAAATGCCTTGAATGACTCAGACATTGGAATAAGAGAAGAATGTGGTGAAATGACTAATGTAGGTGTTCTTTTTAAGGAATTTTTTTTCTTTCTTTTGTGTTTCAGGTGATATTTGAATCGGTGTCTTTGAAAGGACACCCCGGGTACATCGCTGTGGATGAAGTCAGAGTTCTCGCCCATCCATGCAGTGAGCACTCCTGGTTTTTCTAACTGTATTGATGTGTTATGTGCCAGGGTTTGCAGTCTGAAGGAATGATTTACCCAGTGGGGTCAGCACTAAAATGTCTTGTACCCCTCCAAGACCCCTAAAGACGCTCAGACTTGCATAATTACCCAAATATGCTAGCAGTGCAAAAGTCTCTCAGTCTCCAGCTAGAGCCAGGACTTCTGTGGAATTCTCTCTTCCTGTCTCGTTAGCAACACATAAAACTGATGGGTTTTATTATTTTTGAATCACATTGCTGCAGAAGACAATCTAAAAAAAGGTTCTCGTACTGACCTGTGTGGTTAACTTAAGAAAAGAACCACCAAATCGTTTCAGTGTTCCCTTGGCAAAGGGTCTGTCCCAAAGGTCAGTCTCTCTCAACAAATGTTAAACCCAGGCAGCACCCCCATAAGGATATTAAAATAAATCTTATTCAGACAGTGGACTTGCACAGGAGTAGAAACTAATACAGGTTCATTAAGTTGTTCATAAATGTTGGTGCTGTGTTTCTTCTATTGCAGCTGCAACAATAAGTTTAAATTTATTTAGTTATTTGTTACATTCAAAGAAGTCTTGAGGCTCTGTCTTTGAATCTGAACTTGTTTGGTTTCTTTGTGGCTTGAGGACTTTGTCTATATTATGTATATAACATACACTTTATTGTAAAGATGTTTTGGTTACAGCCCTTCTCACTGACTTGTGGTTTCAGTAAACCAGTGACAGCTGCTCACAAAAAAAAAAAAATCATGGATCATATTGATGGAGTGAAATCAACTGGTTTTCCTGCAATCAGAATGTCAAAGAACAGCTGCCATTCAATGTGACAGACATGGTTCTGCTCAAGTTTAACAGGACATTTCTGATAACTGCAGGATGCTTAATTGCTGTTTAAGTAAATTATGTTTGTATTTACCATGTGCTCGTTGCTCAGGCCTTTGGGTGCATTTGCTTCATTAAGAAATACTTACAGTCTGTATTAACCAGATGTTGCTGATAACTGGCAGCATCCAGACAAATCCCCAAATGGTCTGTGTGCCTTCACAGCCTGCTGGGTGATGGCTGGTCCATTTACTGGGAAAGAGTCCACTGAACAAACCATGGGGGGGTCAAAGCCTCGACAAGAAAGTGATGGGATTTTAAAAAGTTAGGCAGAATGCTGTGTTCCACTTAATTAAGTAAACTGATTTTGAATAATCCATTTCTCCAAGTATATTCAGGTCCTTCTCCAAAACTAAGGGCATTTTTGGAGAGTCAACACCAAAATGATTCAAACAGGGTTGTTTTGTGTGGGTTTTTTTAATCTGCAGCACACAGAGGTCATTACAAGCTGCAGGTTCTCTTCAGTCCCTGTAAATGCTTCTCCTGTTTTATTCCCAGTGTTGCTTTAGTTGTTCAGCAGTGACAGTCACCAGGGTAAATGTCACCCACGTGCTCCATTGCCTTGTACAGGCTTTGCCCCTCAGGCTCGTTTTACAGTTGTTATAAATCAAAACACAGGGACCGTGAAGCTCCCGATGACCCTGGAGGTTACTGAAATCACTGCTCTTATTTCTTTGCCTCTGCTTTACCTTCCCAGATGACAGTACAGCCCCCATACCAAGCAAAAACAGGGAAATGCCCCTAATGACACAGTAATGGGGAAAAATAAATGTATTGCTGCTGTTGCCTTTGTTCCTCCCTTTGTCCTGTGAAGGGATGCACTGGAATATCCACTTTCATTATACTAAAAGCTCATTGACTGTGCATGAGCCCCTGCCATCCCAGGACAGCCCCATGCTCCAGAAGCTGGGCAGACCTCAGGACCAGGATTTTGGGATTGGTGTGACTGCACTCTTGTATTTTGAGCTTCCTTAGAGCTGCCCACTGCAGACTGCAGGCAGAAATTCCTAAAATTAGCCTGAGACTACCCTGTAGAATGTTCTGACTGTCACCCACAGGTAGTTTCCCAGTAAACCTTGATGCAGATTCCCAGTGCCCAGAAAGCAGGATGGTACAGAGTCGCTGTCCTTCAGGAGCTGTCAGCAAACTGAGTGTGTGCTGAAGGGGACACAGAGGTAGATAAACATCTTTGACACGATGTACAGACACATGTTCTGTGTTCATGTGTCTGTAGTACACAAATACTTGTATGTCAAGCCTTGTGCACAACCACAGGTGGCCACATTCTTTTCATGCTCTCTGATTCCAGCAGAAGGAGACAGGTTGGAATATCCTCTAAAATTATGTATTTCATCAGTGTCTAATTATACTAAAAAATGCAAAGATGAAGTTGAAAAACTCTGACCTTTATAGGCTTGCAAGGCTGTTCAGTGTGTCCTACTAAAAGTTTTCAAATGGTGCACAGACCTTCTGAAGCCTGGCAAGAACTAAGTTCACATAAAGGTGTCAAACTCACTGCTGTAATCTTGTTTATGTTTTTGTAATTTAAATTAGAGATGTAACTGAGCCTGGTATTTAGTCAAAAAGATAATCCTCTGATCTAGTTCCTTTGTGAACAAATTGCATGTCTGCATTTTAATATCAGTGGTTTAATTTTGAACTAATGCTGAATTTAGTAACAGCAAAACACTGATATCAGTGATCTTCAACTAAACCAGTGATACAATGCTGTCAGTTATATGAATATTTCATTTCATATCTGATTTGATATTAATGATGCATTATTCTAAAGGTCTAGGACGTATTTGATAGTCAATAAAATAAAAAGGATAAAAGACCCTTGTGAAAATGTGGTTTGGGTCAGTCATGCTTGACAAGCGCAGAAGCATTCGATTTTTCTTTGACCTTTTTAGAAACACAGTTTTCTGAAGAAAAGAAATTGCTCAATCACTCTTTATAGCAAGCAATAAGAAATTGTGCCAATGACCGTGAACTTGTGATTTGATCCAAATCTGGGTTTTTAGATGTGCCAGGGCTCTCTAAGATCCCTTAGGCCATCCTCCCTCAGATCCATCTCCCACCTCTCTCTGCAGGGAGTAGTTAAACACCGAAGGATAGATTTATTTCACAAAAACACGTTGTCAAGGACAGCCCTGATGCCTTGCTGAGTGTTTCTGTCTGGGTTGGTGTAACACAGCCAGTTACTGCCTTGCTCTACCCTTGCAATATTTTGCCTCTTTTGTCAGGAAAAGCACCTCATTTCCTGCGGCTCCAGAACGTGGAGGTGAACGTGGGACAGAACGCGACGTTCCAGTGCATTGCCGGGGGGAAATGGTCCCAGCATGACAAGCTGTGGCTCCAGGTAAAGTAATGACCTCTTTTGGAGTGTTTTTTTCCTCTTTGGTTTGGTTTTATTAAAGATTTTGCAAGGAAAATTAATATGGGAGAGAAAAACCGGGTGGTGGGGCAAAATCTTTTCATTGAGACCCTTTGAGAACTGCCTTAAATCATTTCTGGGTGAGAGCTTAAGGTGGCAAAGTACAAAGTCACGATACAGGAAATGGAAAAAATGGCCAGTGACAGCAAAATTCTGGTTTCAAACAAGTGCCCATGCTCCTCTAAACACTCAGTCATAAAGCAGAGCAGACAGAATAAGTTGAACAGCTCTTCTCTTCTTGTTATGCAATCAGCTTTCCTCTCACCCTCCAGGAAGGTTGTTAGCCCAGTGACAATATGGTAAGAGGAAAACCTGCTTTAGGGTCTGGGATTACTTACCTGGATAGTGAAAACAGGCAAACTCAGTGTGTACCCAATGTGTTTCTTGCTCCCAATTTCCCTTGCCTGCGTTAACAGCAGATTATTTTAGTCACTCACTAGAAGACCAAAACATTCCCCCTCTGGGTGTCTTATTTTCAACCCACTGGTTGGACTTGAAAGTCTTGGTCCTGCTCTTCAGGTGGGTGCAGGAACAACCTTGAGAATTCATTTTCAGAGTTAGAAATGGAACAGACACCAACCTGAACATACATCAACTCGTGGAGTGTGTGTTTCCCAGTGAAGGACAGAATTGTTTCTCCTGCCCTTGGAAGTGCTCTGATGTGGGGACTCCCAGCGTTACCATTCCAGAAGTTTTTAAAATAGTTCAATTCTTAAAGTGCTTAATATGCCAGGCAAGTCAAGAGGATTCTCTGGCTGTATGTTGGGCCAACATAAAATTTCAGAACACTTGGGCAGATGTGACTGAGGGTCTGATCAGTGTTTGTGACATCTGAGAGAAGAGAGGAAGGGCCTTTGTAGTCAGATAGTTAACAGATTTTATCAGACCTTATAATTGACTTCAGACATTCTAATACATTTTTAAAATAGCGTTTTCAAATCTAGTTTAAATAGAGGAATTGGTTTACCTAATCACAAAAATTAAAAGCAGCACCTAGGGAAAAGTTTTAAGTTGGTGGGAAATGTAGTTGGCATTATGTAAAAATGATATTACAGTCAGTAACTGTGCTCTCATCACAGCTGTTCTACTAAAAATCACATTTTTAACTGAAATTTCTTTACCAATTGTGTACTTCTAGCATTTATGGAGCCACATTTTTGGCTTATTCTTTATGATTTTTTTTCTTTTTTTGAGTTCTTCGAGTGAAATCTTTCCTCGGTTATGATGAGATGTGTGTAAAAACAGTTCTGACCTGGAACAGTATAAATCTTTCCCTCTGAGAAGCAGAGTTTTGGAAAGAAATCATTATTGTTGTTAATGGAAACCTGTTTTCCATTCTCTAAAACTGCAACATTTAATGAAAATATCCTTGGAAACACCACCAAAACCTGATTACTGGAAAAAAAGGAAAACAGCAGTGTGCTTTACTTTGAAATTCCTAATAAACTAGACCAATGAGAAAGTTGGCATATTTATGCTGTGGAGAACTATTCCTAGCTAATTCTTCATCTGTCCCTTTTCCAATTGGAATAGTATAGTCTGGCATTGGTAGAGAGGTTTATTGAGGAATGTTGGACTTATAAGGATGTCTGTTCATCCAGCCAATTTATTTAAATTGGTCCAGAATCAAAGTTTTACATCTGAAAATGCCAAGTTTGTAGAATCTGTTCATTTGTAGTGTTTTCCCAGGTGTACACAAAGCCTTCAGTTGTTGTGTTTTCATATCCAAGCTGGGCCTCTAATTACACTGTGCGGAGTTGCACAGTCAGAGCTGTCACTCTCCAGCCTTTGGAGTCATTAATCACAGAGCCACAGAATATCCTGAGTTGGAAGACACTCACAAGGATCATCCAGTTCAACACCTGGCCCTGCACAGACACCCCAGCAATCCCACCCTGTCCCTCAGAGCGTTGTCCAAACCCTCCTGGAGCTCTGGCAGCCTTGGGGCCGTGCCCACTGCCCTGGGGAGCCTGTTCAGTGCCAGCCACCCTCTGGGGAAGAACCTTTTCTAATCCTGCCCTGACACAGCTCCAGCTGTTCCCTGGGTCCTATCAGTGCTCACAGGGAGCAGAGATTGGAGCTGTCCTGGGGAGGAAACTGCAGACCCTGATGCTGTCTGACCTCAGTCTCCTCCTCTCCAGGAAGAACAAACAAAATGACCATATGGTTTTCCTTCTAGACCCTTCACCATCTTCATATTCCTACAACACATCAAATGCCCAAATATGTTTTAAAAATTAATCAGAAGTGCAAACTTAAATATAACATAGAATCATAGAATGCTCTGGGTTGGAAGAGGTCTTCGAGGTCATCCCAAATGGCAGGGACACCTTCCACTGGCCCAGATTGCTCCAAGCCCCGTCCAACCTGGCCTTGGACACTCCCAGGGATGGGGCAGCCACAGCTTCTCTGGGCAACCTGTGCCAGGGCCTCCCCACCCTCACATATGTGTAAGAATATGCAGAACCCTGTGCACATCTCAGGGGTGTTGCTGTCAACAAAAAAACTGTGCCTGTATGAAATCCCTCCCTTCAGCGCGAGCACGAAGGTCTGCACAACGTTAAGCGTCACAGGGACCGAGTTAAACGTGGGTGCATAAACTCATAACCCGTGTGTCTTCCTAACTGGGGTTATTTTTCTCTGCCCTTGCAGCAGTGGAATGGAAGGGACACGGCCCTGATGGTCACTCGAGTGGTCAACCACCGGCGCTTCTCGGCCACCGTGAGCGTGGCCGACACCTCCCAGCGCAGCATCAGCAAATACCGCTGTGTCATCCGCTCCGACGGGGGGTCTGGAGTGTCCAATTATGCAGAGCTAATAGTGAAAGGTAGGTTGCCCTAAAGCAGCAGCTTGATGCAAGAGGAGTGTTTCCTTCCTCCCAGATGACAGCTCTGTATAAAAAAATTTACGTTCTGTTGGGCCTTCTTGTTTCACTCTTTATTAAAAGGAGAAAGAAGGGTGAAAGGGACCTGAATTTAAGTTGGTAATTTAAAATAGATGTTTGAGTCTAAACTTTGGACACAGCCCCTCTGTGCCAGCTTTTGTGTGGTGGCTGTGGGGACTTAATGCAGCCAGGTGGAGTTTGGCTGTCAGTCAGCTTCACTTGCTTTACTTTACAATATTTCATTAGGCATTAATAACCTTGTGGCGGAGCATTGCATGTCAGGAGAGACTGCTTGGGACTGCTGGGAATAACTGGGATTGATTCTGCTGACGTCCTGAAATATGGAGTAGAGGCATCAGTAGTTCCTGAGGGATGCTTGGATTTTAGCCCTGTTAATTACTGTGATTCAAGAGCTGAACTTGTGCCTGACACATGCAAAGTGTGTCTTAATCTCACCTTCATGAGGCCGGTGGTGAAGTGCTATTCACTGCTCTGCTTTTTTATTTATTTATTTTTAAACCTGAGCTGCAGCAAGGGGATGCTGCATCAGTGACTCTTAGTGGGGAAATCAGAAGGTGGCTGAGTAGTTCTTGAGATACTCCGTGTTTGGGGTGGGGGTGATGTGAGGTAGGAGGAATTTGAATTCTGGGTCTCCTCAAAGAGTGTGATTTTATTGGTCTAAATGTTACACTTTTTTTGAAAACGGAGGAAGCTGTAGAAATGAGATCAAGTTGTCCAGTGTGCTACTTTCTGCCAGCTGAGTGTGTCATTTGATGATCAGTGTGCTGATGCCTTTATAATGCCTTGGAGTGTGGTGTGGTGCAGATGTTCAGATGCCACAGATCATGAAGAAAATGCTCCTTTTGGATGCCAGGTGCTTTTAATTCCCACTTGGAGATCTCACATCTTGTTCAAATCTGGAGGAATTAATTCATAACTAAAGTGGGATTGAGTTGCCAGGAGTAGCAGAGCTAGGATGGGATCATAGCTAAAGAGAGGGAAGGCAGTTATCCAGAGCAACCAGGCATCAGAATATTCCAGGTTCACAGAATATTCTGAGTTGGAAGGGACCCACAAGGATCATCAAGTCCAGCTCTTAAGTGACTGGCCCCCAGAGGATCAAACCCACAGCCTTGGTGTTACAAACACCAGGTTTTAACTGAGCTAAGCTCAGGGTCTTGAGTGTCTGGCACTTCCATGGTTGTTGTCATAAGCAGGGCAAAAACAACAGAATAAGTCAAAACCGTGAGTGGTTGGGTGTCCACCAGGAGACTTGTTGGTAGATTTGTTGCTGGATTACTCAGGCAGGCACATCCACGAACCTTTAGGAGAATAATATTGTTGTGGAAAGGTCCACTCCCACTCCTCATTCCTGATTAGGAGGCAGGGAAGGTTAAGTGGCTCATTGGAGGTCAGTCTGGTGCAGCCCTGTGACACACTGGGTGCTTCCAACCAGGCTGACTCATTTTAGTGGGAATAATAGCAAATTTGCAATGCTTGTGCACAGGCTGAAATGAAAGCAAATTGGAATTGTTTCATTCTGAAGAGATGTTTATTGAATTGCAATAATGTACTTGAGCATACATTCAATTAGTCTGTAATTGAAGTTTTGCTCAATTAATAGTCCTGCTCCTAAACCTGCTAAATCTGAGCTAATACTTTGCTTCCCTCGATCAGATGAACATAAAATCATAGAGGATTTCTTCAACAAAGGTTAAGATCCAGAAGTGTATCTATATATCTTTATAATGTAAAACTTTCCTTGCTTCCCCACGCATAAGGTATTTTATTGGAGTATTGAAAATGAAAAGTAATTTACATTTCTCAATATTGAATGTTAATATTTGGTAGACACTGAAATAGAGATTTTTTGCTTTGAAATGCACGTCCTTCTACACCCTAAATTGGACAATAAATACCTGTTTCAGCAAATGAAATGATCAATGAAATTAAACACACACCACCTTGCCTGTCTGTGGACATCTTCACTAAGAACAAAGTAATTACTGGAAATCTTATACAAAAGAACATAACTGTATTAGTTTCAATTTATTGCAGGATATTTAGTGGCAGGAGGTACATCTGTAGTACTGTGAAAATGCAGACAGCTCTTTGCTCTGTGTGCTAATGGTTGTCTGTCTTCTGACTGTTGTATAAATGACAATACCTTTATTCTTCTCTTGGCACTCTTGAATCATAATAGTCAGGCCAGAGAAACCTATAATTTCCATCTGTACACTTTACCATCCTTTGGTGCTCCAGTGGAAATAGCTCTTCTCTATTTCTCATCTCTCACTGTTGCATATATAGTAATTTAATACAATTTTGTACAGGGCAGTTAAAAAACCCCAAACAACAGCGATTCTCTGTCTTGCTGCGCTGCCTCTCACCTGAATGGGATGTTTCTTGTCTGGAGCTGTTTTAAACAAAAGCTGTGTGGCAGTTATTGTATTCTGTGCTTCTGTGAAGATTGTTTAAAACACTGGAAGTTGGCTCAAATCTTATCATTTAAGGTCTGTGTTAATGCCAATGTCCCTGCAGGACACTTGTCACATTATGAAGGTTGTGGATAACTCTCTGTGTGTATGGAGGATTGTTTGCAGTTGCTCTTTTCCCCCCCCAGTCCCTTTCAGATACTGTGGATGCTTAAATTAACTCCTCAATATATGATGGAAATGGATGAAGAGCTGATAAACAGGGAATATTACAGTGTCTGTAACATATCTTTGGTGAACTGATTTTTCTGAGACTTTTCACTTTTCAGGAAGTCCCTCAAATTTATTTTGTTGCTACCCTGATGCAAATACCTTTAAGGCTCCTGGTATTTTCTGATGGTCTGATCTGCTACTCCAGGGGTGGGAGTACTCAACAGAGCCCCTCTGCAGACCTCCAAGGGGGTGTTCCAGTTCTCTTCAGTTTTGTCTTAGTTGGTTTTCAAAATGTTTGGCTGAAAAATAATCTGCCTCTTGTCTGAGTGGCTCTCTGTCATCCTTGTGGTATTTTGGGACAGCTCATCTTTCATCAGGCTTTTCTCTGTCACAGGAGGAGCTGGTGCCTTGAGTGAGGTGGGTTCTTTGTCAGAGTTGTTTACTGTTCTTTCTCTAGGTCTTTTATGGCGTGATGCTTGTCACTGTAATTGCACCATCTGTTTATTAACTCACCAGGTACACGGTGAAAACTGCTCTAGTGATCTGAGTCTATTCCTAAAAACCCAAACCACAAAACAACGGAGAACAACAAATACACAGGCACTAAATAAACCTGAACAAAACCCCATGTCACGTTATTGGAGTTTAGATCCTCGTATATTTAAATAAATCTTTAAGCTTCTCCAGTATTAAATACACCTTGAAAATTCCAGATTTACAGTTCTAAGGCAGACTCATCAAGGAAAAGCTTTACAGGTGTTTTGTCTATCCCAGTATTTATTACTGGAACTGAGTCCAGAATAGTTTCAGTTCATTATTAAACAGCAGGAAGTCCTATTAGGGAAAGAACTTTCTGGGCTTAGAAGTAATAAGAAATAAAAACATCTCTGTTTTACAGCTGGGCCTGATCTTGGGCTGGAGTTGATCCTAGAAATGTCACATTGGGCTCTCCACCGGTTTCCTTGAATGAAAGAAGTGCAGTGTAGATATGAAAGTATGTTCCACATGTGCTCTAGAGAGTGTTCTTCGAATGAAAAGATGATTGTCTTCAATGTAATTATTTAGGATGGTCACCAACTCCTAAGTTTGTCACTTCATATTAAAGACATTACGAAGAGAGGTTGTGGATATGAAAAATATTCTTTGAAGTTCTTGTTTGTTGGTTTGTTCATTTAAAAAAGATATATTTTCATGCCTGATACATAGGCAGTTCTGTACCATGAGATATTTGTGCCAAATGTACTAATTAAAGTTGATGTGATATCCTTGCCATCGTGGGGTGATGTTGCTCCTGTTTCCATGGTGGTGCTCCAGTCCCCACGTGTCACTGAGGAGACTGGAGGTGTTCATAAACTAATGGTGCATTCACAATCTATATTTTCCCCAACTTTATATATCTCTTCTAAGTGACCTTTTGGTTCCTGTGTCAGATGAGCAGCAAGTACTGTTTTAAACTTTGCCTTGTTTGTAACCACCTGGGAAATCATAATGTCTTTCCAGTCACACTGTTGAACTTCTTCAAAGATTGGTGGTGCATCATTTGTGGGTTTTTTGTCTCCTCAGGTTATTTTAATTGTTTTTCTTCCCAATGCAAAAGTAAATCCAAGAGTTTTTGGTTTGTTCTGACTGGAATTTCATTTAAGACTGGTAGTGAGATTGGCATGGGATGAATTTGCTTGGATTTGTTTTTAATGAACAGATATCAAAGTATGATGTTGCTGCTGATGCATAAAGATCTTGACTAAATACCTGAATACATGCAAGCCTTTTCAGTTTCTAGTTAGAATTATTAAGAAGGTTTAAGGCAACTACACAGAAATCAATTTAGGACTGTTGATGCTCAGAACACATCCCAGTGCCTTTGCTAACTGGAAGTGTTCTTGCAGTGGGTGACCACCAGATGTGTGACATTAGAAAGCAAGCCTGGCAGCTTTTCATTCTTTTTCGTTGGTTTTTAATGTAGAGATTTTCATACAGGTTGATTGCTAATGATGCTCATGTGACATTACAATTCAAAATTACACTTTTTTTTTTTTCTGCTTGTGCCTGAGTTTAAAGTCTTAGCAGGAAAAGATGAGTCACATCCATTGTTAACTCTCTTCTGTTCATCTTTCTTGAACCTGCTTAATTGTAGGGAAGTTATTAATGGGCTTCTCCTGGAAAACAGAATCTAAAGCTGTTCTTAATTTATCTACCCTGTGGTTGCAATGCTGTTAAATGCTTCTCATTCAAGAAAAGTCTCTTGAAGTATCATCTGTCACCATTCTTGGATGTTGGTGAAGATCCTGCTGTGGT